AAAATTGTTGTAAATTTTAAGGATAAAAACATGGTAAAAGTCCACAATTATTAATATATTTTGTATCATATGCATCTTTTAGTTATGCTTCTTTTATACAAAGCTTTCATGTGTTCTTTGTACCTAACTGCCAGATTTTTTAATTACATTTTAGTGCTAAAAATACTGAGATATTTGGCAAATCAGGTTATCTCATTTGAAAATAAAATATTTACCAGGTTTCTTTTATATTTGTTGCTGGGTATCCTGATATTTATAAGTGCTGTTGCATTTTTAACAAGAGTTTAAATATTAAAAATCAAGCTATATAGAGGTTTTTCAAAAAATCTTTATTCAAGACTTTCCTAATTATGCAGATAATCACTTGTGAAAATTAGTGGACGCTGATGATTACTGATTTGTTACATTCATTCATAAATTAATGGTATATTTGTGTTTAGCAGTACGTGCATATATGTTACACGTTATTTTGTGTGCAAGTGTGAGGTGTATGTCAGGAACCCCCATTCTGTTTGTATATGTTAATGGATGCTATACATGATAGGGATACTATAATACTGCATAATAACTTGGTCCCATCTAATCTAGAAAGTATTTTACAAACTAGATAAGAATATTTTATATGTTTTAACTGAGAAAGAATCTCTTATTGAAAGAAATTCCTGTACAGATTGCTCTCATTAAAAAGGCTAGAGGAGTGATTACATTCAGTAACTTTTAGGATGTGTTTCAATGGATTTTAAGAGCATTCAATTTATACATCAGTGATTGTTGGCTCAGTTTAATTTATCCATAGCAAGCTGGACTGATTACTACTGACATAGCCATGAAACATTAATAAAGCATTGTGTTCAATGCTAACATGATTATGGCCTGACCTCAGTGATGTCACAGAGGACAGAAACAGTAAGTGTTCCTGCTAACATTACCCTAATGCTGGGTTCATCAATCATAATCTACCAGTTTACAAAAAAAAAAAAAAAAAAAGGAAAAAGCTTTTCACAGATGTGACTTCGTAGTCTTGCTGAGCTTTTTGATCCCAGAAGACTTGTGGTGGCCATGAGAGTCTGAAATAAAACAGGTTCAGGAACAAGCCAAGCATGTTAAATCAAGGTAAGAAACTGTAATGTAAAACACACACAGACACAGTATAGCCTTTAAAGCAAGCATTTTGTAATTTCAAGACATGACCTGTTGTAATCCAAGACTAATTATGACAATATTTTGATTATTGGGAGCACAGATTGTAGTATATTACAAATTGCAGTGCTGAGTATAGCAAACTGAAAATATACTTTCAGATTCAGGAAATGGCTTTCTCTACCAATATACTAGTTTGTTATTTAGAAAAACAGAGTATACAGATATTTTATTCAAGCCCAAAATCGTGTCCATATTCAATTGTTGTCTCCTTTCTAATTCGTTTCTTATACAAATGCATACTATTTATGTATGTTATTCATATTCTGTCTTTCACATTTTCCATATTCCCCTTCTATTTTATCTTCACAAGGACATTTGAATGTGACACTTGGATCACCACAGTGATTTGATTAAGTGAGGCTGAATGGTTGTAGGTAATCCAGTAGTTCTTTTGTACAGTAATGACTTAAATCAGGACAATCCTAATATAGGATATAATCTTATGGATGATCTCTGGTGGGAGCGGGATGGTGGAAGTGCGACCATCCTTGCTCTCCTTGATCCCTCAGCGGCTTTCAATCCCGTCAACAATGGTATCCTGTTGGGATGACTCAGGGAATTGGGGGTGGGCGACACAGTATTGTGCTGGTTCACCTCCTTTCTTCAGGGCCGATCCCAATTGGTGTTGATAGGGAGCAAGAGGTCCCATCCTCGGCCCCTCCTTTGCGGGCTGCCGCAGGGTTCAGTTCTTTCCCCACTCCTTTTCAACATCTACATGAAACTGCTGGGTGAGATCATCCGTCACCATGGGA